CGGGAGCTGCGAAAAGGTGAGGCTGGCACGGCCGCTGCCACGCCGCCGCTGGGCCTTTTCCCGCCCTCGGGTACCAGGTGGGGCCTTCCTGGGGGGCGGTGGCCCCCGAGGCCGCGGTAGGAGGAGGCCGCCCTCGGGGGTGCGACTGCCGAGGGTAGGATGGTAGGGCTCCTCGGCCTGTCTGGCCGGGGAAGGAGGGAGAGAAGGAGGGCGGGGCGGCCGGCTGGCCCACTGTGGCGCCTGGGGAGAACGGAGCTACTGGGACAAATGTTAAACCCCAGGTCGCAGTTTCTTGATGACTGTGGGCTGGGAGGTGCTTCTCCTCCCTCTTTTTTTGTCCACTTCCCTGGCTTCTCTTTTCTCCTTCCCATTCCCCCTTCTTCCCTCAGTGATATGCCTCTGAGGAGGCTGTTTCTCATGTTTTACTCCCTCTTTTTGTGGAAGAAGAGAGGAAAGTGGGAAAAGGGAAGGAAGGCGGCAAGCACGAGATTCGGGGCTTTTTGTTTAAATACTGGTAGTTACGGGTTTTATAAGACGACCCTTTTTAGGTACTGTCTTCCATCATCTATAACGGTGGTTAGCTGTAGTACTACTTAAGTTTTCTGACACGGTGGCTTTGTTCACTCCTGACAGTAACTATTCTTGTAAGGCAGCTGAAGATGGGAATACTCTGGGGAAAGGAGCAATTTAATGTGTCTATAAAGTGGTTATTGCTTCCTGTTTTTTCCAGATGGCTGATCCTGATGTTAGCGTAATAAAGATTTGTGTTTCTTTATCTTTATTGAGTATTTGATGTTGAGTGTGCAGTCTTAGATTCTTACATGGCTTTAATTTTTAACAGGTAAGAACTTGAAGCTATAGGCAGTGGATCAGGCATTGAAAGGCAGAAATGGCATGTGAAGGTTTATTTGACCTGACTGGAAAACAACTTGACCTTAAGCTAACTCATTTAAGAAAAAGAAAAATCACTTGCTAGAAATCTGTCTTGTTCTGGGAAATGTTACGACCTTCCAATAGCTGCTTTGAAGCCCCATTAATATGTGGATCTTTAATAGAAAAAGTAGAAGACTAGATTTTCAAGTGGAGAGGAAAAATGGCACTAAGCCATTACAGGACTTATGAAAGAGAAACCACTCCCTGAGTTTCACACAACTAAGAGGAATAGTCGACTTGCAGAAATGATGTGTAATGGAATACAAAGAGTGCGTGAGCTGGATCACAATTACCTCTTGGCTGGGTGGCATAGCTTCATAGCAAATGGATTGAACCACCCTTAAAATGAAAGTCTTGCATATGAAATAATACTTAACTTACAGTATAATATGGAAATATGTTCCTATAAACTCAGTAGGTTTTCACATGTCTACTGTGGTTTTATCTAAAATATGCTTTTTGTGTGAAATGTTATCTTTTGAACTTTCAAGCATGAGCTGATTTTTTTTTTCCCTGTTGCCTAAAGGAAGACATATTTGGTCACATATTTCATCTTGTGAAATAAACATTTTCACTATATGTTTATTGCTACCTTTCTTTCTTTTTCTGAGAACAAATTAATGGATCTCCCATCTATAACTGAAACACTTCATGTTTATGGGCCTTCTAAACAAACAACTTGAATCTTTGGTGTTCTGAATGATATCAGAAAGGTACCATAAACTAATTGACACACAGTTTTGGTTGCTTATCTTAATTAACAAATTAACATGCACAATACCAGTTCATAATGATCTATAATATCAGCGGTCAGTCTTTAACTTTAGCATTACCATAATTTTTCTGTTGTGCTGTTTGACTCATTTGAGAAATGAAATGTTTGAAACATGGGCTACATGTTTGAAGGTGGCATTGAGACGCAAGAATAGTGATCTATAGAACTCAGGGGAATGCTTTGCTTTTCTTCAGCTTTCAGTGTCTGGCTTCTACTTTTAAGCCTGTTTTGAGAGTGTGGCTCGGGAGCTTCGGATGAGCATAGCTGCTATAATTTGTCTTATCTTCAGTTTGTTGAAGTTGTCATCCAGCTTTTGCTGCTTCAAAGTAAGATTTTTCTGGTGATCTCTTTTAGGAAGCCAACCTTCAAGGGTCTGTGGAAAGCACGTTGTAGTCTACCTCCAGTATAAGTAGGTTAGTTGCTTTCAAGGTCCTGCACCTTTTCTTCTGAGCTTTCAGGCCTTATGGGAAGCGTTTCTTCTTTTGTATGTTTGTCTACCACTTCATTTGAAGCTGGTATAGTTAAGATACATGGAATGTATTTGAATTTTCCATTTCTGATAATAGTACCTGAGCTTCATCAATGTTGGTTTACATTTGCGCAGTACCAACTTTTTGCTAATTGCAACACAGAATTGTAAGAAAGTCCCTAATCCCCATAGAGTGGATTTAATGATCTGATCAGACAGTATGTTGAATATTAGAATGAAAACCAGTATGCTATGGTGAAGTGACTTGCATTAAACATCACAAAGCAGAACGTTGGCAATGAGGCTATAAATAGAGTAAGTTTAAGGCTCCTGACTTGCCTTCAATCCAAGCTGTGGAAACATGATTTCCCTTCTACCCGAGAGGAGAATGATCTCTATTTGGGGAATATGGACACAAAAATTAGTGTCACTGTCTACTGTTATTTCTAGCTAGTAGTGTCCTGGAGCTGAAAATTGAACCTTGCCTTACTAAATTTTATTTCCTTTCATTGTATCCCTTTTTTGTTGTCACTCTCATCTCCAGACCTTCATTCCAGGCTACTGCCTTTCAGGCTCTTGGAACACTCACTATGACCAGATGAGTTGAACGCAATACAGTGAGACACTACATCTTTTCTGGATGCTTTCTGTTTTGGTAAAAGATCTCTTGTGTCAGATCAGATTGCGTGAACCTTTCTGAAGATGTCTTTAGTTATTCATGAAAACATGTGCTGGGATCACAAGCGCTTTTGTTCCTCAATGTTTGGTTCTGATTCTTTTATATCACGTTGGAGTAGAGGTGAAAAGGCAGCTTTTCAAATGTGCATGTAACTCAAGCAACATAAAATCTTAGTGCCTTTCTGTTGGATTAGTTGGTGGTGTTCAGGTCCCATATTAGGGCATCTCTACAGTTCATCGGTTCCATACACCTTCATCTACAGGTTTTCTACTGTTAATCTTCCATTGCTTCTTTTGGTGAATTCTTCCACTTACATTTAAGCTTGGAGAATGGGCAAAACTTGCAAGTCTTTGTCATAACTTGGAGCCATTACATAACATTGGATTTGTCTTGCTGAACTCCAGTATTGCTAAAGTTCTATCAAGACAGTTGATGTAACTGAACACTGAAGGAGTATGCATATATGTTTTTTTCCCTAATACTGTAGTAACTATTACATGTAGTTCTTAAAACACTGACATGTAGAATTCCTAGGGTCATTCTTAGAAATAATCAAAAATTGGAGGAAAGCTAGGAGGAAATATATTCTAGAATTGACTGCATTGTGAAAGTACTGATAACTTGGAACTGTTCAGATACTCCTAGTAACTGTCACAAATATTTAAGGAAAGGATATCTTCTTATACAACCAGTAGTTTGAAATTATGATAAGGAGTTGCATATTATATGCTTCAAGAGACTGGGTGTAAACACATGCTGTTTAATGGCTGACCTCAAATATGTGCTAATGAAAAATGTATGGATGAACTGTGCCACTAGGATGGGGCTGTGGCAGAGCTGGTGCTCTGCCTGGGGTGTTATGTATTCCTGATTATCTATGCAAAACCACTCGCTCGCGTGTGGTTTCCACATTTTAATATATTTTTTTTTTCACTACTACTATGATTAGTAGATAATAGATTCTGTAGTTCATTGACCTTTTGTTTCTTGAAAAATAAAACTGAGACAAGATTAATAGAATACCTTTAAATGACAGCTGTAATGAAATAACAAAGATTTCTCCTGTTTTCACAGGTAAGCAAAAATCTACAGTGACAACAGAACAGCTCCTTTTTCACTCTGCTGTTGGTTAAATATGTCTTTAAATATTTCTGCTGGTTTTTTTTTTCTGACAGTATCTTGTGCTGTGCTGCTGATGAAAATCCAGCAAAACCATGAATTAGTTTTGAAATGAATGAGTTCTCTGATGGAAAGCTGGTGCTGGCACAAAGGAGACTGAGGGTAGTATCACCCCTTTAGGCTACAGCCTGTGTTAGCACTGGCTTGTGCTGATCTTGAGTCTTAATTTTTTTTAATTTCATAGTTTATTTGAGGAATACATAGCTTAGTGGGGAGGCTACTTTTTCAGTACTTCATTTGTAGTAAATGTGTTACTAAAGTAAGAATCTCAGGCAGCTCGGATTTTCATTCTCGTAAAATGTGGCTTTTTTCCTTTGGTACTTGTGATATCGCAGCTTCATGATTGCTTCAAAGTAACTTCTGTGGATTAACTTTTGTGATAATGTTGCCACATAACCTAATTATTTTGCAGTGATCTTTTGAGTGTGGGTTAGGGAGAATTTTGTAGAGGCTTGAAAAGTGTGCACTGAGGAAAATGATCCTGCTTCAGCTGGATTTCAGGTGTATGAAATGTAACACTCAAAGTTAAATAGTTAATTACTTAGTAGTCAGAAGCTTATTCAGTATTTAAGTAGATAAGTAGTACTAATTAATTAACTGTAATGTGAACACATCAGTCATTCCCTAAATGCAACTGGTGGGCCCGTTAAAACTATTTAATTTTGTGTGTCAACAAAGGGAGTGGCGTACGGGGTTTTTTTACGACTAAGTAGTGGCATTACACATACAATTTTGGTGTGTAAGCCTGCAGTGACAGAGTAGCTGCTGAGAAAACCCTTAGGAACCCCTTTGAAGAGGCTCATCCAAGATGGAGGCTCTTGAGACTTTATTTTTTTGTTATTTGCGAATCAGATATGTTCTTTTGCATACATCTCTTGCTCCCTGGTTTCAGGATTCTCTGCAACTGTAGTAGTTTGTTGTTTGGTTGCATGTTTTGTTTTGAAATGAAAATTTCAATTCCATAATTCAAAGCATCAGCTT